CTGAGGGCGAGTCTCAAGCAGGGCCATGATGTAAGAACTAATTGTTCTTAAATTGGAGTTAGGATTTAGTGCAAGCCCCAAACCCATTCATGTTTCTTCCCTTCTCCCCCACCCCCCTGTTATCTGCCTGTTGCTCCCTTCAGAGACCTCCTTGCTAATTTATGATAGAGAATCTTATCCATCATCACCCTGGGGCATAATGATCTTCCGTTAATATTGTCAGATTAACAATGGTACTTTTTTTAAAAAGCACTGTTGAGAGAGAGATATTGGGCTAATGTAGGCTAACTCCATGTCACAATACCTGAATTATTAACTTGTACAGAATCAGTCTCTTTGTGTCTGGATGCTATTTACACAAGCAATGGCAGTTGGTTGTCAGGGAAATTTTTCAATAATATTCACTGAGAATATCAGTCACAGGTTTGCCAGAAGAATATATATCTTAATACAGCATATAGGGCATTGAGATAGTGAGCCTGTGATTGTCTGCCTACAGCTTTCTTCTGCTTCTTCAAACATCATGCGATTTCAATCTTATGTCCTCAGGTTACAGGTGTGTTTGAGGTAGAGTCCAGTTCACCTGGGGAGTGTCCACATCGGGTCTCTCTGGTGCAGTCGGTGGAGCGTATTGTGTGCCTTGAAGGACCAGGGTTCAATGCCCCAGTATTCAAGGGCATGTGGCCTGGGCCTTCCGGAAGTACTCAGAAATTCAGGCCAAATAGGGCTTCTTCAAATATGCACATTACCAGGGATACTCCCCACGCAGAGTCCTTAAAAGTCACCCACACCACCCTCCACACACTTGGAGATAGGGGCTCCTCCTTCTCCTACCAACAATCATGCACTTGTGTTCCTTCCGATGTGCCTGCTCCCATTAACCCTCCATGACTTGACTTTCTCAACAGTATCTCTCATCCCTCTGATAGGGATGGCTCCCTGTCCAGGGGAACATGGTCATAACTTTGCATGGCAGTCACTCAGGTTTTCTTTTATTCTTGACTTTTGAATCACCTTTTGCTTTCTTTCTGTTTGATGTCATCACAGGATTCACATGATCTTCAGTCATTACTGCTTAATACATCAAATGTGTGCTTGAGATGCTCACTAAGTTCAGGTGCAATATACTCAAGTTTGTATTTCGGATCTCATGCACTTGTTTTAATTTTTTCATCTTCAAACTTAACTTGCATATGGACAATTAATAGTCTGTTGCCTTATTTTGGCTGATGATACTAAGCTTCTCCATTGTCTCTTCCCAAATGACAATTGGATTCCTGTTTATTCCAAGTGTCAAAGCCCATGCAAATAGACACTGTTTACGCTGCTGAAAAAAAATGTATCTGCAGTGAAGAAGTCTTCTAAAATCCTATCACAAGGTCTCTGTCTGGTTCCATCAACAACAACCTCTTTCCCAATTTGATCTTTTGCTCCTCTGTTTTC